TTTCGAAGGTTCTGAAAATGCATAGTTTAAGTTGGGTCTAGTAGGGGGGTTTATCACGTCTTCAATGTCATCTTGATCTTTAGCGATAGTTGTTAGAAGAGATTTTTGACCTATTTTTCCCAATCTTGGCGATTTTTGCTTGTTTATTTGTACAAGAAATTTTCAAGCCCTCGTAGGTTTGACTCGTTCAATTGCGCTATGGAAAAAACGTGTAGTTAAAACTAATCTATGTCTGTTGAAATGTATGTTCAAATCAATTGCAAAAGGATAACAGGGATTGGTTTTTCTTGTAGATAAAAGTTAGTAGACTTTTGAACTAAGAATAGTTGACTTCAGGAGTTGGTCATTTTTCATAAAAAATATCGGGCTGGCCGAATCGATTTGTGTTTTTGTCAGTGTTTCCGATTGACAATGTCAGTGTTTCTCAATTGGTAGCCCTCATTCGTTAAAACTGTTCTGATTCCCCTCTCATTCTGGTTTTTAATGACATTTACTTCATTATCGCTATCTATAGATAAGACTAAAAAAGTACCAAGGTTGTCTTTGAATTCAGCATTTTCCTGTGGGTTATCCCGATGGGGTCCTTGTTCGGGGAGATTTGAGTTTTTTTTATGCAAAACTTTTTCTGTTCGGGCACAACTTCTACAATCTTTGGCGAAATGCTTTTGTAGCCGCAGTTGTTATAATTTCGATCCCTGCTTGGGCATGATGAGAGGTGCTAATTTTTGAATTATTGTTCATTGTTGTGCACAGTTTCAACATTTCACTTTTCTACAAAGTTCAATGTCTGTTCGTTTTTACCTAAACTATTATCTTGCCTTTTTTAAGAACTAGGACGTAAGCTAGTACGTGTTGCTCTGGGTTGTATATTGGTTCCTTGACCAAGGTTCCTTAAATTAGAAAATAAAACATCCCAACCAATTCAGGCTCCAGATATCCAATTTTACAGTTCTTGGGTAGTTCTGAAAAGATTTGATGAAACTGCTCCAGTGATTTATGGTCTTTTTGTCTCGGATCGAAAAATTATATCTTTCGTTCGTTAACTTTGTAGTTACTATAAAACTGGTTTGAAGTAACTCTCAGAGTTTTCCAAATTGATGTCTAGGATCATTTTACCAGGGTTCCTGTTTGCGAACCACTGTTGGTCTGCTTTTCCTGTTGGAGTCTTCAATTTCTTGTGTATAATTCCATTTTAAACACATTTTTTTTTGGTTTTTAGTTCGGCTTTTCTTTTTCGCACTTCTTCATTATATGCCAAGATCCATATTCTGTTTTTCACCTCATTCTTAACCCGTCGCATGGTTTGGTCATTGGTCGTTTCCAAAGATTCTGGAATTGTAATTGCATAATTTAAATCGGTCGGCGGGCTTATCACATCTTCAATGTCTGAATCTTGAGCATTATTTGTTAATTGGAAATTTTTGACCCATTTTTTCCATTAAATCTGCGGTCCATTTTAGTGATGAGAAAGAACTTTGAAGAGTTCTTTCAAAAAAAGTCAGGGCCCAGAATGTTCCTTTCATGAAAATGCTCCAGTAATTCGTGGTTCTTCCATCGCTGACCAAAAAAATTATTTTTTTGTATGTTAAATTTGTAGTTACTGTGAAATTGGTTTTGAAACTTCCCAGATTTCTGCAAATATTTGTCTACGATCGTTTTACCACGGTTCCTCTATGTGAAGCATTGTTGGACCTCCTTTCGGCTGATTATGGTCCACAATTCCCTTTGCTGTCCATATCTCCAATTTTTTACCCAATTTTTTTTGCGTTGTTTTCGGTTTTTCTTCTTCGTACGTCCTCATTTTACGCCAGTATCTATTGTCGGTTCCTCATCTCTATTTCTGCCTGTTGCTGGGTTTTGTCTTCGGTCGTTTTCGAAGGTTCTGAAAATGCATAGTTTAAGTTGGGTCTAGTAGGGGGGTTTATCACGTCTTCAATGTCATCTTGATCTTTAGCGATAGTTGTTAGAAGAGATTTTTGACCTATTTTTCCCAATCTTGGCGATTTTTGCTTGTTTATTTGTACAAGAAATTTTCAAGCCCTCGTAGGTTTGACTCGTTCAATTGCGCTATGGAAAAAACGTGTAGTTAAAACTAATCTATGTCTGTTGAAATGTATGTTCAAATCAATTGCAAAAGGATAACAGGGATTGGTTTTTCTTGTAGATAAAAGTTAGTAGACTTTTGAACTAAGAATAGTTGACTTCAGGAGTTGGTCATTTTTCATAAAAAATATCGGGCTGGCCGAATCGATTTGTGTTTTTGTCAGTGTTTCCGATTGACAATGTCAGTGTTTCTCAATTGGTAGCCCTCATTCGTTAAAACTGTTCTGATTCCCCTCTCATTCTGGTTTTTAATGACATTTACTTCATTATCGCTATCTATAGATAAGACTAAAAAAGTACCAAGGTTGTCTTTGAATTCAGCATTTTCCTGTGGGTTATCCCGATGGGGTCCTTGTTCGGGGAGATTTGAGTTTTTTTTATGCAAAACTTTTTCTGTTCGGGCACAACTTCTACAATCTTTGGCGAAATGCTTTTGTAGCCGCAGTTGTTATAATTTCGATCCCTGCTTGGGCATGATGAGAGGTGCTAATTTTTGAATTATTGTTCATTGTTGTGCACAGTTTCAACATTTCACTTTTCTACAAAGTTCAATGTCTGTTCGTTTTTACCTAAACTATTATCTTGCCTTTTTTAAGAACTAGGACGTAAGCTAGTACGTGTTGCTCTGGGTTGTATATTGGTTCCTTGACCAAGGTTCCTTAAATTAGAAAATAAAACATCCCAACCAATTCAGGCTCCAGATATCCAATTTTACAGTTCTTGGGTAGTTCTGAAAAGATTTGATGAAACTGCTCCAGTGATTTATGGTCTTTTTGTCTCGGATCGAAAAATTATATCTTTCGTTCGTTAACTTTGTAGTTACTATAAAACTGGTTTGAAGTAACTCTCAGAGTTTTCCAAATTGATGTCTAGGATCATTTTACCAGGGTTCCTGTTTGCGAACCACTGTTGGTCTGCTTTTCCTGTTGGAGTCTTCAATTTCTTGTGTATAATTCCATTTTAAACACATTTTTTTTTGGTTTTTAGTTCGGCTTTTCTTTTTCGCACTTCTTCATTATATGCCAAGATCCATATTCTGTTTTTCACCTCATTCTTAACCCGTCGCATGGTTTGGTCATTGGTCGTTTCCAAAGATTCTGGAATTGTAATTGCATAATTTAAATCGGTCGGCGGGCTTATCACATCTTCAATGTCTGAATCTTGAGCATTATTTGTTAATTGGAAATTTTTGACCCATTTTTTCTAATAAATCTGCGGTCCTTTTTAGTCATGAAAATAAATTTTCATGAGTCTGTTTCCAATTACAGTACGGTAGAATTCAAGATACTGTATATGGAAAAGACGCACTTACAACTATTTTTGTTTAATTGAAAATTTTCTTAGTTTCTAACTTTTAAATAGAGGAGAAAAAGTAAGACGACGATAAGGTGACGTCGAATAAAAAGTCAGGGTCCAGGTCGTCCCTTTCATGAAAGTGCTGCAGTGACTTGTGTTCCTTCTATCGCCGACCGAAAAAATTTTGTCTTTCAAATTTTAAATTTTTAGTTACTGAGAAATTGGTTTTGAAAAATTTCCAGATTTCGGCAAATTGATGTCAAGGACCGTTTCACCAGGCTTAATGTGTATGAAGCCTTTGCCACGGCTAAGTATAGTCGACACTTCACTTTCTTGTCCATATCTCCAATTTGTAACTCAATTTGTTCTGCATTGTCTTCGGTTTTTCTTTTTCGTACATCCTCATTATATGCCAGTATCTATTGTCGGTTCCTCTCCTTTATTTCAGCTTGTTGCTGAGTTTGAACTTCGGTCGTTTTCGAACGTTCTGGAATTGCATAGTTAAAATTTGATCTGGTAGGTAGATTTATTACGTCTTCAATGTCAACTTGATCTTAAGCAATAAGGTAAGTAGAACTTTTTGACCTGTTTTTCCCAATCTTGGTGATTTTTGCTTGTTGATTTGTTCAAGAAAAGATCAAGCGCTCGTACGTTTGACTCGTTCAACTGCGCTATGAAAAAAACGTAGATAGTTAAGACTAAATCAAGACTGTAAAAGTGTAGGTTTAAACTAATTTAAAATGGATAAAAGGGAACGGTTTTTCTAATAGAAAAAAGTTAGTAGACTTTTGAACTTAGGATAGTTTAAGAAAAAATATGATAATGGTGGTGATTCTGAAATAAACTAAGACTAGTTTAAAGACAAAACATAGAAAGTTGAATTGAGATCTTATGCAATAAGCAGAACAATGACCGAAGTCACAAGAATCCAGCAGGTGATGCGCTTTTGGCAGGTAGATAAAATTTAATCTCCAAATATCAGTAATGGAGATTAAATTTTTTTCATTGGGCTGGCATACTTTTCCCAGACATTGAAATGTGAGAATTTATTCAAGTTGAAGACATTGAAATGTCTTGTACTGTATTTACGGAGAAAGCCAATTTCATAAGCTTTCCCATAAACAGTTAGTTTTGAGTTCGTGAAATCAATTTCCCGATGACTTTTTTTGAAAATTTTGCAACAAAAAAATCACCTTGAACGAGTTCTGATGAACTAGACAATTAACGATTCAAAATTATGAGTTGTTTTGTTTTTTATCAAACTAGATTATTTTAAATAGTTTCATCAACCTTGCTTCAAACCTGCAACCCTGTAATTTACTAATTTGCGGACAGTTAATCACAAGGTTTCCCTAGATTTGCTCTTTTGAAGCAAAAATTTACATTTTTTCCCGTGGTTCTGAAAGTACAAAATTACCATTGGAGGAGGAAGAATATTATCGGAGGAATCAGTAAAGATGTTTCAAAATTTTGGTTGAATGTACAGTACTTTTAGTTACAAAACTGTTCTTTTTTCATTTATAGTTCGGCAGAATTCAAGATACTGCACACGGAAAAGACACACTTTCATCTATTTTTGTTTAAGTTGAATAATATCTTAGGTGCTAATGTTGAAACAGAGGAAAAAAAGGAGAACGACGACGAGGTGACATCGAATAAAAAGTCAGCGTCCAGGATGTCCCTTCTGGTGAATCTGCTGTCAGATGCCATAAATGACGAAGATGCAAAAAAGGAGCTTAACAGACAGCAAAATGAAGAGCAAATGTAAGCTAAAAAATTAACTCCTTTTACAAAAATATACTCACTAACTTGGCAAGTTATGTTATAATAAGGAGCACTAAGCCTCTCAGGTATGAGTATATTTGAATCGACTTGATAGCCGATCTCGAGCGTGCGCATGAATGTTTTGACTTCGGCGGGGGGGGGGGGGGGGTTTAACAAAACAAGTTGAAAGGTTTTTCAAGATTTTTTGGCGCGCATTCCTTATCAAATTATAATATGGGCTTTTCAAAAATTCTGTGTTGCGCGGCCGAATTTTGCTGACGCATAATAGTACCAAAAGGCAGGCTCTTGGTAAAAAAATGGCCAAAAAAATTGAGTGGGGCGTTGTAGAAATGCGTTTTTTCCTCTTGGTTCCCCTGTAGCCCTGGTTTCCTCTCCTAACTCAAGTTCTGCTAGCGATGGCACCACTATGAATGAGTGCTGCTATTTGTCACCTGCTTTATCAGAATCATTGTTTGGCCAATCAGAATCATTGTTTTTACACAACAACTTATCATATTTAACTTACTATATAAACCAATATGAGATTTCTTTCTTTCAACTTCAGTTGTTTTTGTTCCTCTGTTTTCACGGTGTATTCATCATGCTTTGAGGAATATTAACATTAAAATCGTTTATGTAGATTTAATTTTGGTTTCAGATGGTGCGAGTGGCAAATCAGATGGTGCAAATAAAACAAAGCAAATGCTCGTTGCTTGAGGGTGAAGCAACATTACCCAGCCCAGAAAAATAACCAAAAAATTGCATGTAGTTCTTAAACAGGGGCACAACAGCGGTTCGCCGTGATGAGCTGTACAGCTCTGTGTTGGTCCTTTCCCGCGTGGATAAATGGTCTTAATCAACATGCGTTACTTAATCGGTGACATTCTTCTAAATTTAATAAGGTTACTCACGTCCTTGCCACTCCCCCCCCCCCCCCCCCCCTCGCGCCCACGGGACTATGCTGACATTGTAATCTGACCATTAAAAGTACTAATGTCACCTAAGAACTTACTTGATCTCTGGTATATTGCATTTAAACTGCCTGACTTCAAATAAAAAAAATGAAGCTCTTCTAGGGATCCAGTGTTTCCTAATCAAGACATCAGCAGGAGGATCAAAGAGCTGAGGAGTCCCATGTTCAGAACGAGACACAGCTTCATAGGAGGAGACAGCAAGAGCATCTTCAGCGACTTAGTGACCACTCTTCAGTGCAACTACTCCGACAGCGCCGAAGGACTCTCGGAAGATGACATCCGAAACAGGGCCGCCAGTCTCAGCAGACTGTGGGAGCTCAGAATGCGACGCGGAACGGAGTCGAGCGAAATTAGGGATCAAGTTAACTTTAAAAGCTCTAGTTACGTTTTTCTAAATTGCTCGAATAGTTAGCGGTTGGTGGCCCTCGTGTTCGGTCATCCTGTTTAAACGGGGCATTTGTTTTTATCCGGTTACTTCGCAGATAAGGTCGATTTTAATCGAATGTGTAACGGCTCATGAATGTTTGTAATGCTCAGTTATCTATTGCTGTGCAAAATTTTTCTGACATTTTCAGTTTTTCAAGAAATTTTTAAACCTCTAATTTTTTTAGTGAAAACAAGATCGCTCGTTCCGACTATACCCCTCAAAGCTGACAAAAAGGTTTTGCTTCAAATATCTATAAAAATTATGATTAAAACAATTTAATTGAAACTGAGAAGCCCCATTTAAGAAACTGACCCAGGCCGGAAAAAAATTTAATACAAAGTTAAAAATTGTTCTAACTTTAGGTGTAATCGACCATCTGTTGAGTTTGTTTCTATTTATAGTTTCTTTTGATTTGGTTTTCTCTTTGAAAATATCACGTTTAATTCTTGTTCAGTACTGGAGTATTTCAAGGTATCAACTTGGCACTCTTTTCGAATAATTTTCTAGGTTAATTTCAGAACTTCGTACGCAAAAAACTTCTCTTACGGTATATATATTTTTTCAGGCATAATTTCAGTGATTGAATCCATTTGTGTTTATAAAAAAAGTATTCTGATTAGCCTTCTGATTTTCATTTCCAGTTCTAACATTTTGGTTTTGTCGGTAGTTGCATAAATTAAAACTCCATATTGGACGATTGGTTGCACATAACTTTTATACGCAAGTATTAATTGCCGTCCCGTTAGAAACTTTCTCAATTGAAAAAAACTCCACATAATTGCAAAATTTTGTATTTTACTTTATCAATATGCTGATGAAAATTCAATTTACAGTCAAGGTGAATTCCAAGATATATAACACATACTCTATCTTCTATTTGTATGTCATTTAAAAAATATTTGACTGGTCTTTTTTTTCAGTTTTTTTGCTCAGACAGTATCTCATGGTCTTGGTTTTTTTTTTGACATTCAGTGTCAATTTGTTCTTGTCTATCCAATCATTTACTTCAAGCAAAGCCGATTGGTGTGCGAAAGCAATATAGTCTTTGTTGTTTGTAGAATTCAGAAAAGTGGCATACAAAAGTACCTCTGTGTTTTTTGTGGCTAATTGTAGATCGTTTTTGTAGAGTATGAACAAAAGCGGGCCAAGGATAGATCCCTGAGGTACACCAAAAGATACCAGTTTAAGTTCGGTCTTAAAAGAATTATTTTTGATGTACTGATAGCGATTGTCAATGTAAGATTCCAAGAGATTTAAGACAGGCCCTCTAAATATCATATGTTCCAATTTTATTATAAGATTAGAGTGATCAACTGTGTCAAAAGCCTTTGTTAGGTCTAAAAAAGTATTCTGAACAGTTAGTATTTTGTTCGATAGCGATGTTGAAACTTCTTCCAACAATGTAAGGATGGCGTCAACAGTGCTTCTTTTTGATCTGAAGCCAAACTGAGTGTTTTGGTTGACATTTAACTTGTCTACATATGATTGAGCTCGTTTAAAAATTAGGAGCTTAAACATTTTGCCCAGAACTGGAAGAAGCGAGATTGGTCTATAGTCTGAGGGGTCATTGATGTCTCTCTCTTTGAAATCTGGTACAATTTTTGCATTTTTTAAAACAATTTGGATAGATTCACCTGAGGTTAGGCAGTCATTAAAAATTTCAGTCAAAAGGCCTGCTAGTATGGTTTTTAAATGCTTGACGAGAGCAGTGTTGATATCATAGCAATTTGTACTGAATTAATTTTTTATACTTTCAATTACTTCATTAATTTCAATTAAATCATTCTTTTTTCAAACAGATCGATTGCTGCTGACGGATAACTTTAATTTCTATGCAATTTGGTTTGCTTTGTGAAAGTCCGGCGCCAATATTTGCAAAGTATTCGTTAAAATGCTCAGCGTCCCCCTTCGACAGATTCAGTGATTTGGAATTTTTCCCTTTACCTCTCATTTCCTTGAAAGTATCGAAAAAAGTTTTCGTTTTACAATTAGACTAAAGCATTAATTTATTTTGATACTAATTTCGTTTTTGTACGGATGATTAGGTTTTTGATATTTTTATTTTGTAACTATATTTGTTCCGGGCATCCGTTGTTTTAAAATTAAAAAACTTTTGTCGTAAGCGTCGCTTTTTTGCTGCTGCATTTTTAAATTTCATTGTCAATCCATGGATGTCCTTCTGATTGTACTAGTAAACGCTTTGAAAAAAAAGTATCAACTGCCTTCAAAAGGATAAAACTTACTTTTTTACAATATCCGAGAAGTCTTTTGAGGGTCTTCGAGATTCCATAACTGCATACCTTTGCCAATCTCATGCTGCAAATGAAAACTTAATTTCCCACTTATATCCCTATTTTTTAACTTGTTCCAGTTTCTAGCAAAATTTTTGTCAATAAAAATGTCCTTTTTCACAAAATTTGAAAAAAAATGGACACCAAAATGATCAGCCGCTGAATTTTTGATAATTTTTGTTGAGAAACTGATGTACAGAAAAACAAATCAATCAAAGTGCTACTACGTTCTGTCACGCTTGTTGGGAGGCAGCTCATTTTGTTTTCTAACATGCCATTTCCTATCATAATATCCTCAATTTTCATTAGTTTTGTCAAATTTAACAGAAAGTTTACATTGAAATCACCACAAACTATGTGTTCAGTTTCAGGCCCTAGCGTTAATCCATCCAAATAATTTTGCAGGCTTTCGAATGTAGCGTTGTTTAGAGAATTTGGTGGAATGTAAACACAGGTTACTACAACTTTCTGATTTATTTGGGTTTTTATGAGAACTGACAAGATTTGGATATTGTTATCTTTCTTTTTGTTATATTATCCTATGGTCTGACCCAGTGCTAACATAGATGTCAACACCTCCTCCTCGTTTAAAACTGGCGCAACTATAGAGTGGTTCGTATCCTTGAATTTGGAAAACATCATTGTCACAGTTATTTTTGAGCCAGGTTTCAGTTAAACAAATGATATGTGGACCTTGGGACAACTGCTCTGCTTGTAATTCAAATTCTTCAAAATTTCGGGGCAGTGATCTGAAGTCTTGTAAAAACACTGAAAAAGTTTTAGAATCTGTTTCCTCCGTGTCTCTGTTAACCATATGTTCTGTGTGCCAGATAATTGTCGCGTGGTTTCTTAACTTGTTGAAAATTTAATCAGTTTGTGAAGATCTTGCTTTTTTCTAATTAATGTTTTCTAACTACAAAAAAAACTGTGTTATTTTGAAAGCTATTCAGCTCTGCAATCAGCGCGTGTATTTATTTATAGCGCCGTTTTTAATTAAGTTCTCAAAACATGCCGACAACCATAGAGTAAAATAGCACCTCAATCGTAGATTTGCTTAACCCACCGGTGGCCTCTAAAAACTTTCTTTTTCATTTCAAGTTAGGTTGATACTGACAATTTTTTGTCAAAAAATTTGAAAACTAACAACTAAGTCACCTTTGGTGAGCCTGCAGTTAACTTGATTCCAAATCAGTAACGAAGGACGATTCAGTGTTCAGAGTTATTACTCGGAACTAGATCCTGAAAAAATAGATGAAAACTCGATTGTTCACGATGAAAAAGCAAAATCAACAAGAAAATCAAGCGCTGAAGATGCAACAAGTGGAAACCAGCTCAACGAGCCGAATGATGATTTAGTCGAAAATCCACTTTTTGCTTCTGCTTCTTCGTTCAAACCACACGAAACTGAAGAGCTAAAAAATCTGAGTTTAGGCAAAAATTCGAACGAAGAATTCAGCGAAGTTTTGAGTGAAAAAAAGGTTGGAGTTAACTTCTGTTCAAACCCTGACTCGAGAAAGCAGTTTGTAAACCTGCATTATAACAGAGTTGTTCGGCCATTTGAGTCGGGAAGTGAAAACGAAAATGACTTGGCCGAACAAGAAACAAGCCGACTTAGTTTGGTGTCAGAAATATCAATGAAAAACGAGTCGCTTAAACCTGGTTAGTATTTCAAAGCTTAGATATAGAATAATTCAGTTTTATTTTCGTCTTGGCTAGGAGCGCGGCTTGACCTCCATACACCGAAAAAGCTTATCATACAATCCAATACATCAAGCGCATGGAAAAATGCTTGTCATACAATTCTCGTATAATTTCGAAAAATGGTTGAAAAAAAATAAACTAAATTCTTCGGCTGTTGGATTTTAATAAAACTGTCTGATGATAAAAAATTTGATGTTTTTGTTTTTTTTTTGAAAAAGTGCTTATCATGCAGTTCCCATATATGGAAATTGTTTGAATAGCATTTTTTGATAGCGACACAAAAACTTTTCCCGCCATTTTTTGATGGCGACAAAAAAATTGCCCTAAATTTTTTTGTTTTTTTTCAACCGCAAATCGAATTTTGTACTCTAACACACATTTTCCAGAAAAAAAATTTTGCATGCAAATTTTTTTTTGTGTGCATAACGTACTTGGTACATTAATTTTGGATTTTTTTTCCTTTTCGCCTCAGATTGTTTTTCAAAAAAACTGAAATATCCTATTTCTTTTCTATGGTATGCTTATGTATGCCTTAATCAATGTCTGATAATTAAAACGTTCAAAACTTTAAAATTAGTTATAGTTGAAAATTTGCCAAATATTAAAATTTGTTACTTTCGTTATACATTTGTCCAAACTTTGGTGCTTCGAGTAAACCAAGTTCTTTGTCACTTGCGTATGGTTACGAACACAATCCGAAAAGTTTCGGAAATTAGATATTGAAAAAAAATCTAGATATAGATATTGAAAAAGTATTTTGCTTATGCAAAAACATCTATCGTACAATTTTCATATTTGAAAAAAGTTTATCATAGAGATTTCATACAATTTACTGTACGTATGTATGGAATTGTATGGTAAGAAGTTTTTCATATATAGACATTATATGATAAGCAGTTTTGGTCAACCTGGGAGTTCAGCAAAGCAATTTCAGGGGAAAGGGGATGAATTGCGAGGCCAAACTGTGCATTCTGTGTATTGCAAGTGGATTTTGCAACAGGCCACAATCATATTTGTCGCGTAATCCGCAACATTTGCTTTTTTTCTTTGATCTTTCTTGATGTTTTGAATTCCGCAAACAAATACCTAAGACACTGTACCGCTCAAAATCGCTCCAAAATAGGCGAATTTGTGGAATCCGCAACAGTATCAGCTTACATTTGCGGATTCCACATACATTTTGCGGAATACACTTACAGTTGCGGAACCCAGAACAATTAGATATATTTGCTTGTTGCAGAGTCCGCGACTCAACAAATGTTTCGACAAAATTTACGTTACAGGTATTTGTTCGCGGAATCCACGGAAATTTTGTAAGTGGATTCCACTTACATTTTGGAATATGCGTAAAGGTTTGTCTCTGGAATCTACGAAGATACAAACACAAAATTGTGCGCCTATCCAGTGCACAGTTTAGCCTCGTAATGATGACGTACTTGTGACTAACTTTTTGATGTTTTTGCGTAAAACTTTTTCTATTTTTTAACGTGATTTTTATGATTTTTTAAAGTTATGACCGACTCAAGTAGAACCCGCAGAAACTATGAAGATTGAAATCAAAATACTTGTGCGACCAAAAATTCATTTGCAAATACATATCGAAAAATTTTTTGAGATTTTCACTGGAAGTATTGGGCATGATCAAGTTGCGTTAAATATTTCACGTAAATTCTGCATGAATTTTCTGGGCGCTAAAGTCACTTATGCTAATGATTAGTCAACGACATTTTTTTTCAGCTGTTCCCAAACAAGATTTGCCAACTATGCAGCAGAAGTTCCGCAACTGTTTCTTTCGCGATGTGGCCATGCAAACTGAAGAACCTCATCTGCTAATAGATAGTGAATCACAGCTGGTGCAAGAAAAAACAGAAGATATCTTTCAAGCTAAAAGTGACTTAGAAATGGTAAGAGCAATTTGTGTAATTCAACAAAAATTCTACAAGACCAAAAGCTGCAATTGTTTCTTTCGAAATGTGGCTTCAAAGAAAGAGTTGCGCTTTTGAGATGTGGCTACAAAACTTGTTATGGCTCACCCTTTTAAAAAAGGATTTTTCTCAAGAGACTTTTGCAAAACTATTTTTGTGACCGAATAACATTTTGTAGATTTCGGAGAAAATGGTTTTTTTTACGGGCTCACTCAAATTTGTTACCAAAACTTTCTGTGAGTTTTCTTTTTCAATTCCTTTTCTTTTTTCAATTCTTTTTCAATTGTTTAATTTCTAGGAACACGCGCCGCAGTGTTTCTCGCCTTCTAGCGGAAACAATGTGCCTCAATCTCCGTTCAGTTTCAAATCTCTCAGATCCCTCCAAACCCCCTCGCCAAAGGAAAAAAACCGAGCATCATCTATGCTGGAACAAGCTTCCGACGACCTCAGTAATAAACACACTCAAAACTTGAACTCCTTCCGAAATAAGTCATTCAACCATCACGAGTTCTCACCAGTGGATATAACCGAGAAGCGACACCAGTTCGGACTTAAGTACCGCAACTCGATTCGGAAGTTGTCGTCGTCGATGTTTCCGATTCGCGATGGGAAATTTATTGTTTCGTTGGAGGCTTCGGCTGAGAATACACCTGTGAGTACGCGGTGGAAAAAACCGATAGGACTGAGTCAGTTGAATGATTCGACGAGCGAGAGTATCTCGAAGTCGTTCAACGTCATAGCGAGAGACGGCAGCATCGAGAGTCGCAAAGTAAGTCAAGTAGATTTTTTTGATTGAAATACATTGAGTTCATTTTCGCGAAGAGATTCCACCACACTAAATGCAACAGAATTTTATGAGTTGAGTTGACAGTATTGGAAAAAAGTTTTATGATTTTGTTTTAGATCCACCAGGATAAATCGGACGGTGGAAGTTGTGTCAAATCAGGTATTTTCATGACTTTTGGAAACTCATTGTCAAAGCTCATTCGCGACCAAACAAAAAATGCTTCTAATCTGGAGAGAAATAAAACTGCATACAACTTCATAGGTTGCATACAACTAGTTTTTAGAAACCAGGACATCTTGACGATCGGTTACCGCAAACGTCTTGCTTACGGGAGATCCGGTGTTCAAGCATAAATTTTTCTAGCTAAAAATAGCCTAGATTTAGCTAATTTCTGATCAGAAGTAAGATCAAAAATAAAAAGTTTTAAGAAAACCCTTGCTTTATTGTACTTTTCAAAAAAAAATTAATCAGATTTTTAGATTAGAAAATAAGTATTTCTCACCAGAAAAAAAGAGTTTGTTTGATGCAGGACTTTAGAAAATTGGATGTAAAAAAAACAGACATAAAATTATCTATTTTATCTCAAAACAATGTACAACGGCCACATATTTTAAAAAAAAGCATGCTACGGAGGTTAAAAGTACGACCAGTTGAAAAAAGCATTTAGTTTTAAAGAAAAACAAATCATAGATTAAAAGATTTAACCTACAAAATTTAGCCAGAGAAAAAACACGTTAATTTTGCCTTTTTCTAAATTATAATATTTCAATATTGATTCGACAGACGGACTTCATCAATTAGGTTGATGTTTTCTGTGTTGATTAAATTGGTTTTCTGAAATCTCTCAAAACTCCATTAAAACCTCTTTTTCTTCGTTGTTTTTTTTTTTTAAATTTGACCGAATATTTTGAATCGGTACACAATTTTCAAGATTGTTTTGTTTCGATTCTGAAGTTTTCTATAAAACGTATTCTAATTTTTTATAGAACAATTCAAAGTTTCCCGTTTTAAGTCTTACCTCTGATAAGGCGACTGGGAAGAAAATTAGTTTTTTGATGCAAATAATCTTAACATTTTTTCAAGTTAATTTAGTGTTTTAACGTTTGTTGTAGACAGAAATTGGTGGCGGGGAATTTCATAGTAAACATATGAAAGTTGGGTGCAGTTTTATAAAACATTTTCCCCCAAAATAATCGTGAAAAAACGAGAGTTTCGCATCATCAGGGGTAGGGCTGTTTACGTGCAAATTTGAATTTTTCTATAAAAAATTAAAATGAGTTTTTTTTTTGAAAACTTCAGAATCCGAACAAAACAATCCTTGAACATCGAGTACCCATTCGAAATGACTGGACAAAAAGATAAAAATCTTATTTTTTGAAGCGATTTTCGTAAATCGAACTATTAGACAAAATTTTTGAAGAAAAAATGTAATTTCTAACAAAAGGATTTTCAACAAAATCAGTGTGGTTCAATTTGTTTGGAAAAACTTTAGCCTTTAGTTTTCCACTAGAAGAGGGCTGGGTCAATTTCAAATTGAGTTTATCAAATTGAGTTCCTAACCCATTCCTACGAAGTTTACAAAAATGGAATATCTGAAAGCTTAAAAAGCGTTTTAAATCTATTTTAAGCAAAACACATCCATTTTGTATAGTAAGTTTTACTTATTTTTGTTTCCAGACAGTAAAACAGAGTTTTCTATAAATTAAGAGTTACTTTACCTTCTCAAATTTATTCGGTCAAGTAAGAAGCTCAATTCGTTTAATGGTGTTTGAAGTTGACACAAAAAGTTTTCGCGTAATTTTTTATCAACTAAATTATGCCTAAACTAATTTTTTTTCAGCGGAAAAATTTTGGGTCCAAGTTATGCAAAACGCAGCGGCATAGTTTTTCTTGTAATAATCTCAGCTAATTATTTATACCAGTTTCATTTAAAGTAAGCCCATTATGAAAAGCTACATTCAAAATTTCAGTTGTCGGTTTTTTACTCTGAAAAGTTTAAAGGAGCATAATTTTCTCATAAAGTTTTCCTAATTATTCCAACTTTCCAAGAAAGAATGAAATATTTGCGCTGGGCGTGATTTTTTTTCTTCAGGCCATTTTCGACATTTTAAAAAGCTTTTTTAAGCATAGCATTTTAAAAACATGACTTCCCGGGCTCAAATTAAAAATTTTTTTAAACAGTTTTCATCAATTAAACAATTTCATCAACATCATTGTTTGCAAAGTAAGGTGTGATTGAAAATTGCCATTTTTGCCAACTTGGGACAAACAACGCTCGCGATATACACGGTGATTTAACTCGGCTCAAAATTTTTTCAAATTGAATTGAGGCAATCTAATGATGTTTGTATTGAGGTACTTTTGTCGATAAAAATATCCTGTTTATCTTTTTGTACATAACGAGTAAATGGAAAGTAGCAAAAAAAAACTGAAAAATAAATAAATTTATTTATTTTTAAATTTCATCATTCATACAAATTTCTAAAAATGTGATACCCCATGCAATACTCTGGGGTTTAAATACTCAAGACATACTTTTTTTTTGTTAGGCTTGAAAACAACTAGATAAAGAACTCTTAGCCACCGTTAATAGGCGCTGATCTAGAAATTTCTCGAGGGGGGACGGATTTTAAAAAAAATTGAAAATTTTGTCGAACTTTTTTTTTAAGGTCGACTAAATTGATTTTCTGAGCTCTCTTGAAACACTATAAAGACCGTAGCTTGATCAAGTTTTCTGCGCCGCGGGAAAATTTTTGAAAAAAGGCCAAAAGAGGCGTTTTTAGGCACTTTTGAAAAATGTTGACCAAAAAATCGCGGTTTTTCGGCGCGCGCTCCCCCCTCAAAATTAATATTTATTCAGAAAAATTTAGGGGTCCGTCAGCCAAAAATGGATATCTCAAAATAGTTCAAAGGGGGGACCCTTTGGGTCGACAGGGGGTCGAATCCCTGAGGAAGGTAAGCAGCCTCCCACAGCCCCTCCATACCCCCCCCCCCCCCCCCACCCCCTCCCCCCAAAACCGCAACTGACAGTTAACATTCTAACGTTTTTTCAATGCTCTCAAAGGGTAAAATTATGACTAGTTCAATGAATAGCCACATATCACGATGATATGTTACTAAAATTGCCCTTCTAGATAACATTACACCATCGCTGCTCAAAATTTGGGCTCAAAAGGTAGGAGCATCATTAAATATCCCCATGTCCATTGTCAATACTGGATGCGAAGATTGCATTCTATAGTGAGGTCTCGTGACCTTGGATGTCTAAATTTATTCCCTATATGCCCTTCAGAGATGAATCTTTTATAGATAAGCCTAGTAACAAATTAAGTTCTAATTGACAGTTATCCACACACGCCTTCTGAAAATGAATACGCACGTAAGACTTTACGGTCATACTTTATAATCTAAGCCATTTATTGGGTAATTTTGTTTGTAGACAATGTACTCAATGGACACGTTGATAACCGAATTGACCCAACTGACACAGACGAAACGCAGAATCAGAGTACCAACCCAATAGCGGCCGAATCATCAGATAAGAGGTCAAATATAACTACCACATCTGGGGATAAATTATTGGGCAAAGATGGCCGAAAAAGCACATTGACCAGAAATATCAGTAGGGTCAATACACTTAGCCCAAAAGCCCCCATAGTATCAGCCGACGATGCTGCGTTTCTCTTTGAAGATGACGACTTTGACGTTCTAAATGGATACTGCGAAGATTTGGACGTTTCATCTATTTTGGCATCACCAAAGCAAGGCTATAGTTTGTCCCAAAACGGGTTAAATAACCATAAACATGATTTGAATTCTGCGTCACCAGAAAGTAAGTCACGTGTTCGAAAATCAGATGGTATAAAAGATAGTTCAGATAGTTTCTTGTCAATTTATAGAGACTCATTTCGCAAGAGCAAAGTGCTGAATAGTAACACTGCTAGTAGTAGTCATAACCAGCCAGTTAATAATCAGCAGTACTCTTCTGCTGCAGAAGTTAATCCGATTAGTAGTCCTGCTGCGAGTGAGGGGAAGAACGATAGAAACCCTGCAAAGCACTTGTTATCACCAGATACGATAGGTTAGTTAGAACATTTGAACTTGATACGACCATAGAAACAAAGTTTTTATTATTTGAACTGGATTGGCCTTGAAACTTTTAAAAAATCATTGATCAAAAGCTTGAAAAATAGCTCTAAGACCAGTTTTTCGTAAGGTAATAGGTAAAAATAACAAGAAAACAGCGTCTGTTACACTTGATTTTTGTAGAGCTAAATTTTTCAGAATTTACAGTATTTCTATTCAGAGTTTTTTGTACAACAAGAATTCGGTCATGTTTTTGTTGTAGTTGGAGGATCTGAATTTGCCGTTACTTCGCTGCCTCGAAATCTCAAAAAGTATTCGCACACGTTTTACAACCCGAACAGCCCTTTGGGTCATACACTCTCTGCGGTAAACACATTTGACTCTTCGAATGGGTCCATAATTTCACCTCAATCGCGTAGAAACTCGAACACTCCATTTCTATTCCCGAAACGAGGACTGACGACAACTAAATTTGTCGAGTCGTGTCTGATCAGCGGACCTGTCAAAGTATACCCAATTTGGGTTAGACATAGTCACCAAATATCACAGTTTAGAAACTACAGCGAGGGGTCTTATCTGGACAACAGTTGCAACAAGCAAGCGACTTTAGTTAACCCAAAACCAGAGTCTGTTCGAAAGTCGAAAAAATATAAAGACAGTAAAAGCAACCCGATGTTCGCTACCCTGAAGGAAACCCTGAAGACCCCCAAGGGACTGAAGAGGAAGAAGAATAAAGGTCAGAAAGGGTCAAATGCGGGGGGTCAGGAGAATACTTGGGGTGACTGGCCGACTCCTACTCCTAGTGCTAAATCGTCATTTGCTGGCAATTATGCAAATAGTAAGTCTTACGCTAGTCTTGAAATATATATCATCAAATTTTACTTTTATGCCAATTTTTCCCTGCATTTTTTAACCTGTAAACTTACCTAGAACTAAACAATGGACAAGCTTGCAAGAGAGAATTTACCACTAAATTAGGCTAATTGAAACTTCTCGCTCATGAAAAATGGTCAGAAATAGAAAAAGCTAATTTCAGTAAATTTTTTTTGATTTCTCTAAAAATTCGAAAGCTTTTTTTTGCAATTTGTCATAACACCACAGTAACAGATTTCCTAAGCATACATCAATCCTATTTGCTTATTTGCCTGAAAAATGTATAATTTCTTTATAAGTTTTGGCTGATAAAAATTAGTGAACTTTGAAACAGGCAGCAACACACCAATACTAGTTACAAAAGTGGACCAGAATTACTTTCCCCAATCTGGAAAACCCGATACAATAAGGCGGCTCAGTTACCAACAAAACAATTTCTGCTATGAATCATCACTACCACGTGTCTTTGGCAATTCACTCCAACCGAAAAACCTGGCCTACAGAAATTCTGTTGTGACTACTTCATCGGCTGAAAATGAGGGACAAATGGCAGACCCCAGAGCCAGGACTAAAAGGTCAGGCTCGTTCTCGAAGGTCAAGAAATTGTTCACGAAACGACCTTTGACCGAATATGAGAAGAAGAAAATGAGCAATGAACGAGAGATTCAGAACGATTTCTCGACTATGAGCAGACCATTTTATATCACCGGTCTGGACGATTTGACAATTGTTAAGGTGAGAACATAATACTTTTTACACCCAATTAGATTATTATCAAAATTTAAAAAAATAGACCAATTGAGCACAAAACTGCCAAAAACTAAAAAAAGTTTCAGCTTGGCTTTTATGGGAACATATCACACTAATAGGACAAGTTTTCGTTAAAACTGTGTGACTGGTTTTTAGTAAAGTTTATCGGTCAACCTTTTGCTTCCTTTTAACGGTCCTCTTTTGTGATAACCTAAAATTTAATGAGCAAGAAAAAAAGTCTTTCGTTAAAAAATTTTGTAGCGCGCTCGAAAAAGCAAAAACTTTAAAAATATATTTTTTAGCCCATTCGTAAGAACAACTTAGTGCAATTTTTAATGCTTATGTGTTTTCAAGGACGATAAGAACTGCAGCTGGGCTATTGAAAAGGAACCTCAAAATTCGACCCTAACCAATAGCGAATCCAAACCCCAATCGACGCCAGAAAATCTAAACTATGTCTCAAGCTACGGCACATCTCTCAACGGAAGCGGAATGAACTTCTCGTCCGGACCCGAAACAGATATTTAGAAACTATCAAAAAATAACTCGAATTAGACCAATTTTTTGTGTAATCTTGTGTATCTCCTGAAATCTTCTGTGTTGTATTACTTAGAAAATTAAATAAAACTAGTCAGTAATATTTTCTGAGAAAGTTCGCATTCAGGGTTGGTCAAGTTAACACAGAAATGTATAGCAGCAATAACTGTTTCCGAGGTGCCGAGGTTGTCTGCTCTGTCAGGGTCGGCCTCTTCATCGCCCGTGCTGAGAAACTCGACTCATAATTCAACCGAAACTGTCAAATGATGACATTTTTTGACTGTTCGAATAGAACGATGTCCGTTTTCGACCTTGTAGGTCGAACCGCGTTCGAATGTTTGCTCAAATTTGCTCCTTTTTGTTTGTTAGACCTGCTCTGCTTCGCTTGTATCTGTGTATATATTGATAGGTGAGTGTGTGAACGAAAGTAATTTTTTTGAAATATTGGATGTCTGTCTACCTCTGATAAACGAACTTGTCAAAGAAATTGTTACACTGTGCTTTGGTGCGATTCATGTCTTGACATCGCAATGTTTAACCTAGTCGCGACTGAGGATTTAGGTGGCGAGTTGATCAGATGCGACTATTTTTTTTCTTCATCCTGTTATTTTTAATCAGCTTGTAAAAGAGAAAACTTGTTCAACATGCAATAACTAATTGCAAAACTCTTACAAGACTACTCTACTCGTAAATCAAGGCGAATCCCTGAATGTTTTCAACCAGCCCGCAAAACTGAAAATATAGCCAACAAGCAGTAAAAAAAAGTATCAATGATCCCTGAACGCAATGATCCACAAAAAACTCGCGGATTTAATTTAAAAAACTTCAATTTGACTTAAGCAACGTATATATCCTCAAAATTCTTAGAATTTAAAAAACCATTGCACTGCAAATTGACATTTAGTTAATAAAGGAAACCTTATTTGAGAAAACTGGATCATTAAATAAAAAATTTTATTTGACAAGTTTTTTGACCATTTTTTGACCATTAACTATTATTTTGGACAAAAGGTTTTTGGACTTAGAACATGTGGATCAATGATTCCGTTTTAAGACCAAAGAGTACATTAAAAAGTTAGGTTCACAAAGGTTCTTCATCATCACTACCAACAAATTTTGGGGTTAGAACTAAATTTAGTTTAATTCATAATTATCAGGCTTTGCAGAATTATGTTGAGACTTTGCAGACTCTTTTTCAAATTTTGCAGGCTTGTGTTTAGACCTTGCAGACCTACTTTCAGACTTTTCAAACTTATGTTCAGGCATTGTAGGCTTTCTTTCGGACTTTGCAGACTTATTTTCAGACTTTGCAGACTTATTTTCAGACTTCGCAGAGTTTGACTTAGGTTGCGACTATGTGGTTTTGGTTCAAACGCGGATCAACTCTGTATTACAACACGACCACGAACAATCGATATAATAATTCACCCTGGCGATTTGTCTTTTTTATTGTTTCAACGAAAGCAATTGTTCTACAATATCCCTACCACCTCATATTTTTTTGTATTAATAATGTGAGCCATTCAGAGAGTAAATCAGAGTGACATTCGTACTCAACTGCAAAAACTGAGTTAACTTGTTGGTGATTACGCCACAAATACGAAAACTGTCAATCGTACTCAAGACATCAGAATGACATTCGTACTCAGTTGCAAAAACTGAGTCAACTTGCTGGTGGATCTACGTTTACTATAAGAAACCTCTGCGATTCAAAACTGACAGAAAAAAATTGAAGAGGATTCGGAAAACATTTGAACTCTGTTAAAAACCATTTGAACTCAACTTGAAAAAAAATTAATAGTAACCTGTATGAAAAAAGTCAATCACAAAACATTCAATAAACTCAGACATTTCCAACTAATCTTTAGAAACTAATGAATTAACTAATCTTAAGAAACTAATGAATTACTCCGTAATTACAACAAATTCGATACTTTGGTGATGCTTAATTCGTCATGTCCGTTTTTTTTTCAAAATCTCAATAAAATCTTCAAAGTTTCTTACCTTTTTCTATCCATAATTCAAACCTTGAGCGAAGTCTCAGTCCCTTAAACTCTTAATCTTGATGCGTAACGCTACTGAATTTTTTTCGTGATTTTTCGTAAAAAATTTCGGACAATAAATAGTAGCCGTTTGCAACGACAGTTTAGATATTGGCGGTACTTAAAAAAAGTCTGGTGCAAAACCATTCCATCCTACTTGATGAGGTTTGTGGCGCTGATGCTGACCCGAGGTTTATTAGGATAGCGATGAGAGTCAGAATGCGGATAATAGTTCCAGCATACGTCACCAAGGTAATGGAACGTACAATCAAAACCCTGGTTGGTCGCACCTTGCTGTGACACTGAGCAACAGCACATTGATGCACATAAAGAATAATTGTACGGAGCAGATGGCTATGTTGTTTGGGACGAAAGCCTGGAGGCTACCTTAGGAGACGTTTTTCAATGTAGAGAGCGCAAAAGTGGGCAGTCTGAAAGGCCAGCTAGCTAAGCTGCTGCAGGGTCAAAGGAGGAAATTAACGACTATTTCGCCCGCAGTTAAGAGCTGAAGAGTTGATTGAGAGAAGCTTGAAAACACTAACGCATACAATGATCAATGCCCTGCTGATCAATGGGCTGCCTGACATCTTATTTGTTTTTGTGGATCCAGAGAGTTTTTAACCGCCCAAGGCCTTTTCACAGCTGACGAGCAGGTTGAAGAAATGTGACGACCTAGAAATTTGACAAGAAAAGAGCAAGAGACAGGGTCTCATAGACATGCATTTTGTACGGGAGTAGAAAGGAGTGGCAAGTAGTGGCTGCTATGTGTGAGATCAGAAGGAACACATGGCGAGGGACTGCCAATACACAACGAGCAATGGCTTGAACGTAGGAAAATGGCCAGGTGCAAAAATACACGAGTATTTGAAAATTGTGCGACTTGAATTTTTTTCTGCAAGCAGGGGAGGACAAGGTTCTTCAGTTGCGGTGCAACAATTTCGTTGAATGGATACGATCTCATATGAATACACTTCACAGTGTCAAACAGGTTGCTGTAGTCGAGCAACACGACATAGTGATCACCGATTTGATTCAATGCTTAACTGATGAGATTCAATACCTAGTAGCTGACGAGTTTCTGTGTTAATGTAAAATCGACACAACTGAAGGGTCACTACCTGTTACGTTTATTCAGTAATGCACTTCTAGAAGCCACGGGAACCTGAAAATTTGTGAATTGTCTCGGGCGTTCAGCTCCGGTATTTAAGATAAATGCAATAAAAAAATGGCGTGGTTGAAAACAAAATGGGGAGTACAGAGTTTCTTGCGAGTGGGAAGAATAGACCTCAATCAGCGGTTTGCAATGACCTACAAAACCAAAACGAAGAGACTATAATTGGCTCTTGGGGCATAAGATGATCTATTGGTTCATCAATTGGTTTTTAGAGTCAGCTTTTCTACACTCTACAGAAACGGTTAGAAGGAGTGGTAACCAAGTGTGCTATTTTCAACCAAGTGACTATGGCTATGGGATGCGGTAGGAAAAAACAGTCTGGTGTCTGGTGCTTAGCTGTTTTCTACTTGAGGAAAAGTTCACTAGAAGCACCAACAACTTCAACGAAGTAGGAAGAGCCGCAAACGTAAGAAGTTACGGTCGGTTATATTCTTAGCACTCAGTAACAAAAAAATAAGGGTATTTGCTCGGAAAAGGCACTGAGTAAAATTGTTATCGATTTCTTTTAAAGAATTTTGGGACTTTCTGGACTCAGCTCTTTACAAACCCCAAATATCACATTTGAGATTTACAAAGTGTTAATTTAAAAACAACGAGACGGTAAAATGTTCGTACAATCCTTGTAAACGTTGACAGACCTAGCCAATACCTGTAATATCAGAGAGACCGAAGAAGCAGAATGAAACAGAGATGTCTTTGTTTGCAACATGAAGACTAGCGAGACCCAACGAAAGCTGTCATCAATAACAATCAGTCCTTCAAAAGCTCTAAGTCAGGCGCTCGTAATATAAAAAGGGCTGTTTTAAGCATCAAAAGCTAACAAACATGGTGAAATCAACGTGCAGCCGGTTGAATTTTAAGTCCTTTAGTGTAAATAACAATGTAAAGAAAGAACCGAGTCTCAGAATTGGAAGAAGTTCCTCATGTATGAAATGTAACAATCGCTTCGCAAAGTTAGTTTCCTCAAACAGAACATACTAAACGAATTGAAATTCACCTAGTGGAGAATCGGATGAAAGAGTTATACTGCGAGATCACAGATGACACAATTAACAATCTGAGGAAAACCAAGATCAGGACTCAATTCGACGTGTGGTTTTGCCAAGAAACGTCATATAAATTGCAAGCGGACAGACACAGAAATTTTTGGTCAACAAAATTTTGCCAATCTTTGGGATAAAAGTGAAGCAGAAGAAATTTCCGCAGCCGATTTAATCAGTAAGTCACCCGCATTATAAAAGTAAGTCCAATAAGCTATTCTTTTTGACGAACAAAATTTTCACGAAATCATCAGACTTATTTAATAGAATTGGCAAGATACTCATTGAAAAAAAAAGCATTCCCACTCCCCTTGTAAACCCGTACAAGTTAGAGGCAGGAGAAATATGTTACATTTGTTTTCGGGAGTAAATGAAGTGTTAAAAAAATGGATATGAAGGGTCATATCGAAAAACTTGCAAAATAAAACAAACATTGATCTAAAAGTTGAGCTGTAACCTCTTGAAAGACAGCGGCTCGATTAAGTTGGCCTTGGCCTCAAAGTTGCTGAAAAATCAGATTTTCAAAAACAATTATCAGATGCCGAAATTACATGAACTGATGCTTAGTGATGCTACTTGGGTAAGAAGTGATATCGATGAAACGTCCTCAGCCGACTTGTTCAGTTAGTCACCCGCCGGGTAAAAGTAAGTTCAATAATCTATTGTTTTTGACAAACAAAGGTGTCACAATTTCTTCAGACTTATTTAATAGAATCGGCAAGATACCCATTGAAAAAAAAACGCTTCCACTCCCCTTTTAAAGCTGTACAAGTTAAAGGCAAGAAAAATCTGTTACATTTTTGATGGGAGTAAATGAAGTGTTAAAAGAATG